AGTAGCCAGAATTACAGGCATGCGCTACCACGCCCGGCTGATTTTTTGAGTTATTGTAGAGATGAGATCTCTCCAAGTTGCCCAGGTGGGTCTCGAACCCGCGGGCTCAGGCAATCCACTCACCTCAGCCTCCCAAAGGCACAGGATTACAGGCTGAGCCACCGAGCCTGGCTAGTTTTGATTTTTTTTAAAGATCACCATATTACCTATAATAATATCAGGATAAAAGAACACAGTGAGTCAAAGTACTAATAGGGGGCTGGTGGTAGATTTAGTCAGGATGAGTAATGGAAATTGAATTTTAAAAGAGAGAGAGAGAAGCATAGATGCAACAGGTAAGCAGATTCAGGACCTTAGCAATAGTCCATTAATTATTCATCCTAGTGAGTTGGCCAGATGACATGTCTCTACTTCCTTCCTGATTCACACAGTTCCCTGTCTTGCTGCACCTGGAGTAAGCCTGAGTCTTGTTGGTAAAAGAGGTGAATGACTCCCAGACTTCCCAATTTGAGCCCTCCTTCCCCCTACCTGTTCTTCTTTCTCTGGATGACTTTTCCTTCCCACTATCCCAGGATGCTTTGCGTCCTCTTGCTTCTAACTCTTTTCCCCAGTTCTTGCTCTGGGAATAAAGCTTCCAAGGGATGCACAATAAGGATGGAACTCCCCTGCAGAGGGTGCATACTACCTGTCTCCCCAGGCGATTTGCATTTTAAAGGGATTTACGCTTGGAATTATAACTCTGTCTGGAAGTTTTTTCTAGAAAAAAATCTTTGGCTAGCAGTCATTACCTATGGCATATACTCTACCTTCCAAATCCATCTCGAACTCTATACTGCCCACATCCAATATATTATCTTTCTGAATTGGAAAATCCAAGAGAAAATAGGACAAAGGAAAGAGATTGTCTCTGTTCATTTTCTTTTTTTTTTTTTGAGTTGGAGTCTCACTCTGGTGCCCAGACTGGAGTGCAATGGCCGCTCCCGGCCACCGCAGCCTCGACCCGCTGGGCTCCGGCGATCCTTCAGCCTCAGCCTTCCGAGTGGCCGGAATTACAGGCGCACGCCACGCCCGGCTGCTTTTTTGATTTATTGTAGAGATGAGGTCTCGCTGCCCAGGCGGGTCTCGAACCCGCGGGCTCAAGCAATCCACTCACCTCAGCCTCCTAAAGGCGCGGGATTACAGGCTGAGCCACCGAGCCCGGCTGTTCATTTTCTTAAGACCTTTTTTTGAGAGCTGGATCAGGACAAAGTGACTCTTGGTGTGCACACCGTCCTTGTGTGTGGCTGATTCACAGGCCATGGTGCTGCTGGGATTAGAATTGCGCTTCATGTGTTCCACAGTCTGCATCACTTGCTTATGTTAATACGTCTCCTCAATTTAGGAAGCTAGTTTCCACTCCTTGGCTCTTAGTACCCAGTGATCTCATTTTTAATAGGATTCGTGTAACCCAATATACTCTACTAACTAATTTCCGCTTGTGTCTCCTGGGTCTGGTGTCTGGAGCTTTGAGGATCCCCAAACTGTTTGGGTGCGTTCGCAAGTTTGGTAACTTGCCATCGTCTCACTTTATTTACTAACACCGATGGCAAGGTCACCACCAGTCAATCATGGACATTGTGTGTGTGATTCTGAGATCAGTTCTTTTGAGAAGTGCCTTCTCTTACAGAGAAATAATCCCTCAGACCGCAGTAACACAACTGTGTCACCCATATCAGCAAGATAGCGCTTCTCCATTCACTCAGGCCCTCGCTAGTGGAGTCAAAAACACGCTTCCTTGAGCACAGAAGAGTTGGATGTTACTGCAGATTTTACGTGGTGACGAGAAGGCTGGCAGAAGGACAAGTTTAACTAAGTGTAATTTCTAAGAAGGCCAATTCAGTGGATTCAGCTGGCTCAACTCTCACACCCAGCCTGTTGTCATATGCCAAATTATGCAGCAGCTGGTCCATGATAAATAATTTAAAAGATAATCTGCGAAAATTTTGGTTGTCTTTTGTCTTCCCTTCCCCACCAGATTTCTTTGTAGTCTTTTCCCTCCCTCCCCTCCCCTCCCCTCCATCTCCCTCTGTAGTCCTCTCCTCACGCCTTCTTTCCTCTTTTCCCCCCCTTGGCCCTTCTGGTCTTCTGCCCTTCCTCCCTGTTTCCCCCCCCTTCCTCCCTCCCTTCTTTGTCTTCCCTCCCTCCTCCCCCCTCCTCCTCCTTTCTTCTTCCACCCTTCCTCCCTGGCTTCCCTCCCTGCCATGTCTAGGTTCTCCTTCAGTGTTTCCCCAATTACAAAAATAACTAGGGTGGAGAATGGGTCTTGCGTGGGGAAGAGAAAGTGTGATCATTCACCTTACAAGAAAAACAAAGAACATTCTCTGGGTGAGTGGTTTCACCTACTAGAAGGAAGTGACAGGAACTTGGAAGAATTTCTAACATGGTGGGGTTTACGTGTGTCATAGTAGAGAAGCCTACGGAAACTAATAATTAGGAAACAAATCTGATTCCCGAGTAATAATTTACCTGGCAAATTTTGTAGAGGCCTTGAAGTGAATGAACTAGGTATTTCTAATTCTACATGGACTCAAACTGTTTTCTGCAGCTGGCAGCCGGATGGCCGTGCATTTGAGACAGGTATATTGATGTATTTTCATGCCTCATTTGCAGAAGAATTGGGTTTTTCGTCTCCCAGAGGAGGCTGATCAGAGGTAGCCTTCTATCTTAGGCCCAGAGATTGATTCTGTATTTTGTTACATAATATACTTTTAAATAATTTAAAACATAGACTTGTTTTTTAATTTAATGAAGATTTATAGTATCTAGGTGAAGCCCCCAAATGGAAAGATTATATTAACCAATCTCTTAACTCAACCTTTATGACTTAAGGTTTGTTGAGTGTCCAAGGAAAAAGTGTACATGTTAACCAACTTTTTTTGGCCTTAGGTACAATTGGTATTATCATCGGGATGCAAGGAATAGTAGTCTTTTCTGAGTATCAGGAGAAATATTGACTGTTGGTAGTTTGATACGGCTTTTCAAAAGAGTAGAATCTCTTGTAAAGTAGAAAATGTATCACACTCTCAGCAGGAAAAAAAAAATGCACTGACGGATGGCTTTTTTTTTTTTTTTTGTCTGTGCCTTTCAGACTCTTTGCCAAGAACTAGAAGCAAAGTTTTATGAAGGGACTTTTAATTGGGAAAGTGTCAAACAGCACGACGCAGCTAGCCTGCTGAAGCTCTTCATCCGGGAGCTGCCCCAGCCTCTGCTCGGTGTAGAATATCTGAAAGCCTTCCAGGCTGTCCAAAGTAAGTGCTGTCCCTCTTCGAAGCAGCCCTTGTGCTGGTGCCATCCGTGTTCATTGTTTTAATGACACTTGGTGTCAACAAAGAACATAACCAGCTGTATTTGGATGGACATATCGACTCACTGATGTCAGTGGGTGCTGGGATGCCACGTGTTGTTTCGCTTTTCTCTTGTAAATATGCATCTCTTGAGTAAATAGATAACAGAATGTTCTCTTCCAGTAGAGATTAATTGCATGACATTTAAGCAAAACAATATATTTCAGTGTTAAAACCTGGAAACTTCACGCTTCTCTTATAATAGAATGAGTCATAGAAGATCTCTGCTGCCATTTTCTTGCCAAGTGTTAAAAGCAACACTTACTGGAGAAGCCATGGATTAACAGTTATCATAAAAGCACAAGGAGATGTGTAGAGTCGGAGCATTTCCTGAAAAATGTAGCTTCCGAGACTGTCACGCGGAAACACGGAGCAAGCATTTTGCTGCCGCATTGGTGGAAGATCACAAACTTCTGTCTTGCTGTTTGTCGTCTTGGGAAAGCTCCAAATTAGTCTCGAATAGTTCCCAGTTCCTTCTCCAGTGAACACAGATCTCAGGTTTATGTCCTGACAAAATGATCGATCCCTTTTGTTCCTAGAGGCCATCAAAAAAGGGAAAATACCATCATCCCATTCAAGTAACCTTATCCTTAACTTTTAAACTGGAACACCTTTGAGAGTGAAGGGGGTCACTGTTAATCATTACGGTGAGCTAGTATCCTTCGGAACCTTTCCAGGCTATTCTTAAAGCATGCACTATTGAGATGGTTTGTGAGTCATTTCAACCTCAGATCATAACATTTCTTCAGAGTTTCTAGAATACTTTTTTTTTTTTTTTTTTTTTAGTTGAAGTCTTACTCTGTTCCCCAGGCTGGAGTACAGTGGCATGATCATGATGATCACAGCTCACAGCAGCCTCGACCTCCTGGGCTCAGGTGATCCTTTCACTTCTGCATCCTGAGGATCTGGGACTATAGACATGTGACACCACCCCCGGCTATTTTTTTAATTTTTAATTTTCTCTGTTGACCAGACTGATCTCGAACTCCTAGGTTCAAAAGATCCTCCTGCCTCAGCTTCCCAAAGGGCTGGGATTACAGGTGTGAGCCACCACACCTGATTATGATTAAACATAATCATGTTATGTTGAAAGTATTTTTTATTAACAATTTCATCTTTAAATGGAAGGAACAATTTTCTATTTAAAATGGTTTGTAGTGGTTAAATTGTGTATATGTTTCCCGGTAGGGACTTAAAGGACCAAATGTATTGCTGAAAAAGAAATGTGCAATGACTCTATATATTCACAAGTATTACTTAATTAAGCGAGGATACTGAAATGGAATGGTGAAAATGGTAGTATCAATGATAGTAACGCACCTCTTATAATTCTTTTTTTTTGAGTTGGAGTCTCATTCCTTCACCCAGGCTGGAGTGCAGTGGCACGCACCCTCACAGCCACCCCAGCATCAACCTTCTGGGCTTCAGCAGTTCTTCCGCCTCACCCTTCCAAGTAGCCGGAACTACAGATGAGCACTACCACGTCTGGCTATTTTTTATTTTATTGCAGAGACAAGGTCTTGCCAAGTTGCCCGGGCTGGTCTCGAACCCGCGGGCTCAGGCAATCCACTTACCTTGGCCCCCCAAAGTGCTGGGATGACAGACTGAGCCACCAAGCCCGGCCTTCTCTTAGACTTTGTAATTTTTCTCATTTATTCCGTAAACATTTATTGAACACCTCTGGTGTTCAGGGCCTTGTTTTCCATATTCCTGCTGGAATTAATGCACTCTTGCCATCTACTTGGTAAAGAAAACCGTTAAAAGAAAACAAACTTCACTGTGACAGATGCACCCTGATACCCGATCGTGGAAGGTCCGATCCTCTGTGTCTTTTCATTGGGGAATAATTATCACGCAGAAGTTAAGATTATTTCCACAGCATGGTTGTGTGTCTGCAAACATAAGGCCGCTCGTCATCTGATCGCAGTTGGAAGTGAGCATTCGGAGAGAGAGGAATCTCCTCACAGCAGCTGCTTCTGCTGATCTCCCACAAACACACTCTCAACAAGGCTTGCTGCTCAGTCGTTGTGGCTTACATTTTACAGTCGTGTTTGTGCCAAATAACTTTTTTTCCCTATAAAATGAAAAAAGAAAAGTAAAATGTTCAGTAAAGAAAAGAGTTCCATTTGTTTAATCTGTCTGCAGATCTTCCAACCAAGAAGCAACAGCTACAGGCTTTGAACCTTCTTGTTATCCTCCTGCCCACTGCAAACAGGGACACATTAAAGGTCAGTGTGGTTAATTTACATTAAATATCCTGTAGAATGAAGCAGTGTCGTTTTTCGTTATTTGGGGTGAAACAATATGATATGTGTCTTGCCAACGCTGCTCCTAAGAGCTTGTAAAGAAAAAGCCAACTTTTAAGGACTGGGGATGAGAGAAAGTCTTCCACTCTTCATTCATTTATTAGGTTGTTATGTTATTAATAGTACGAGGTGGGTTTTTGGTTTTTTAATTTTTACGATAACGTCTCTTCTTCCAACACGGATGGCCGAGGTTCATGTGTTAATGGAAACATGAGTACTTTTTTTCTGTATTTTCCAAATTTTATTTCATGGGCATGTGTCAGTAAGGGGGAATATAAGTGTTCAAAACAAAAATCCTAAGGTTCATCTAATAGAATCCACTACTGCCTAATTATACAACAGTTGTTTGTAGTTCAACGTGGTAGAGTTTGAACTAAGTCATAATGGTGATTTGAAGTGTTTGTTAGCCAAAAGATGAACCAATGCAAACAAATTCTAGTTATTTCCCTAAGGGCTCATCCTTAGTTTCTGATTTATGTCATCTTTCTGAGGTGATTTGGTCTGATATTTTTTGATTCCATACCATTTATTATAAGCGTTGTCAGAGACTCTTATAATCAGTGGATTATTGTTCCACTCTGATTTATTTTCCTTAATGGCAGAAGTTTACAGAGTAGTTGTGTAAAATGTCTAATCATAAACTTTTATAAAAGAAAAAGAAAGACATGCATATATGTTTATATATATATAATTTTGAAAAAGTATTTAAGTTTTGCCATTGCCTTAAAGCAATTTTTAAAAAATATATGAGTAGGGCAAGGGCCTTTTTATCGTCTACATTTTTTTTTCTATTTAAAATGAAATCTCATGAAAAGAATTTTCATGTCAAGAAAACAGAAACCACCAGTTGGTAAATCTTGGAAAGTTTTTCCTGTGACTCATTAAAACTCTTTGAATTGTAGAGACATGAGTGATTGTTCTTTAATGCCCCTGGAATGAATATTAATACTAAACTTTTCTGGATGAAGCAGCTTGTGAGGATTACTAGAGGCAAAACACTACATCCATCACAGAAGATCTTCCAAAGAGTATTCCCTTTACAGTCAAATAAAAAGCCTTTCGTTTCCCTGGTTGTCAAATGAGTAACCCAGAAGGCAGCATTAGATTTTGTTTTGATTTATTTTTGAGACAGAGGCCAGCTCCAGAAAGAATCACATTCAAACACTGTGTGACCAGGACTGCCGTGTAAAGGCGTGTAGGTTGTGGCCAAAACAAGGACATTTAGCCCAGGACAAAGCGGGGCTTAATAGCCAACCTGTCTGTCCTCTGTTTGCCTGCCATGTCCTTGACACAGGGCCTCAACTATAGGACTTGGAAAGAGGAAGGAATGCCTTTTTCTTGCTGATTTTTTTTCTTGTCACATGTTTGGATGACAGCTCTGTGAATGAGCAGCATAAGGTGGGAATTGAAAGACACATGACTGACTTGAAATGTACCTGTTTTTAATTAAGTGCGTAAAGTTGTGGGAGGAGGGCCTTGTTCTAACACGGCCGCCACTGGACAAGGCTGGTCTACAACTCTTCTTTGGACTTTGTTTTCAAAGTTGTAGGCACGTTCTTTTAAAAATTCTGTTTGGGCTAGACGCGGTGGCTCAGCTTGTCATCCTAGCACTTTGGGAGGCCAGGGCGAGTGGATGCCTGAGCCCGCGGGTTCGAGACCAGCCCAGGCAATTTGGTGAGACCTCGCCTCTACAATAAATACAAAAATTATCTGGGCATGGTTGCACACACCTGTAGCCCCGGCTACTTGGAAGACTGAGGCGGAAGGATCTCCTGAGCCCGACAGGTCGAGGCTGCAGTGGCTGTGAGCATGCCACTGCACTCCAGCTTGGGTGACAGAGTGAGACTCGGACTAAAAGAAAAGAAATTCTGTTTAGACTGGGTGCAGTGTCTCACGCCTGTAATCCCAGAACTTTGGGAAGCCAAGATGAGAGGATTGCCGAGCCCATAGGTTCGAGACCAGCCTGGGCAACTTGGCAAGACCTCATCTCAAAAAAAAAAAAAAATAGCCAGGTGTGGTGGCACGTGCCTGTAGTTCCAGCTACTGGGAAGGTTGAGGCAGAAGAATCACCTGAGCCCAGCAGATCGAGGCTGTGGTGGCCGTGAGTGTGCCACTGCCCTCCAGCCTGGGTCACAGAGTGAGACACCGACTCCAAAAAAAAAAAAAAAGAATTCTGTTTACACTTGAACACCTATCATAATACTAGAAAAAAGGGATTGGCAGTAGCGGGACACTGCCAGGGGATGGTTGGGGGTACGTAACATCAATAAGGATGCTGGATCTTAGTCCAGACAAAGTGAGGTCCAATGGGAGGCCTCCAAACGTCACCTGTACCTAAACCACTTATGTACACAATCCTGACTTGTACCCTACAACTTTAAAATAAAGTAAAATTAAAAAAAATATATCTGTTTTTAAAATTTTTAGGGTAAATTTACCTTTTTTTTTTGAGTTGAAGTCTCACTTTGTCGCCCAGGCTGGAGTGCAGGTGGCACACTCACGCCCACCCCGGCGTTGACTTGCTGGGCTCAGGTGATCCTTCTGCCTCAGCCTTCCAAGTGGCTGGAACTACAGGTGTGCGCCACTATGCCCGGCTAATTTTTTTATTTATTTTAGAGGTGAGGTCTCAGCAAGTCACCCAGGCTGGTTTCGAATGCATGGGCTCAGGTGATCCTCTCGCCTCGGCCACCCAAAGTGCTGAGATTACAGGCTTGAGCCACCATGCCTGGCCAGAAATACTCTTTTATTGGTCAAAAATTGGGAGATGTAAATAAGTAATTTTACTTACCTAAGCTTTAGTGATTTAATTAGCCAGCTCTGATAAGGTTGCAAATAAATTACTGTGCTGGGACCCCCTAATCTGGTTTTCAGAGAGTCGGTTCAGTGATATTTCTACCACACCAGGTCGGTGATAGGGTAAATGTTTTTTGAAACAAGAAATCCTTACAGTTTAAATAAAGAGGAAATACTGCAGTTCCTTCAGCAAGGGCTAGGCTAACATCTTATTAACTTCATATCAACACTCTCTCTCTTACTCTCTCTTACTCTGATGGTAATATTTTGAATAACCCTATTGCATATGCACACCACAATTAAAATGGTTTATTACCTAATCTCTGTAATTTATGCTCATAAAACAAGAGATACACTGGTCCCTGAACAATTACTCTGGTCTCTGTGGAACAAAATTAAATATTTTTTTCTAAACTTCACCAATTAATCTTTTGTCCTCATTTGAGAACATGTTGTTTTATATAACTTTATGCTTGGATTACAATTTAACTTTCTGAGCACTGTACCAGAAATTAGATACATAAATCTCATTGTTAGCTATTAAAGTTCTGCTTTAGGTCTTTAATTTGTTTCAAATGTTCAAGGTCTGTACAGCTGCTAAACTTCATTTAAGATCAACCTGTTAGTACTTAGAGGAATGGATTTTTTTTTTTTTTTTTACCCTGCAAGTTTTTGAAAGATAGACACTGAGTTTTGTTTATTTGTTTCATTTTGGTACTGTATATTTGGCCTTGTTGGGGCAGAGATTTTAGGCTAAATATGAAAACATGATTCTTTTAGTAGTTGAGTTCAGAAACAAAAGCCAGATAGACTTGCAATTAAATTCCTTCTCTACCGTTTGCTAGCTCAGTGACTTCTAGTAAGTCACTTATATGCTTTAAAACGTTATTTTGTCATCTGTAAAATGGGGGAAATTGCAGTGTCTGTGTCCAGTAAGGATTAAGATGATCCCGTAAAGCACTTAGTACACTACCTCGTCCACAGAGAACATTGAATACCTGTGCAATTGTTATTATTATTCTACACCAAATTAATTTAAGAAGACAAGTGAAGAGCTTGAAGCCTTAAGCCCTATCAAAATAGGAGACCTCACTTACCTGTGGATTTTGTGGAGGTTAGCTTCAGAGAACAATGAGTGTCTGCAGTAGGTGGAAATAGTTGGCATCAGGCTGAGCATAATCAAGCCTATTCTGGCAAAAAGTCCCTTTTTGTTCATTCATTCATTCATTTAAAAAAAATTCCCTTCTTTTTGGTCTTTCTTCACTTTTCCTCTTTCCCCAATCACAGTATTCCTTTTTTTAATTTTTATTTAAATGAGATGAGATCTTGCTATGTTGCTCAGATTGGATTCAAAGTCCTGGACTCAAGTCATCCTCCCGTCTTGACTTCCCAAGTAGCTAGGGCTACAGGTGAGCGCCACCACATCCAGTTCTTTCTTTTTAGGTTTCAGGTCAGCCAGCTGTTGAGTGTCTTAAAGCAAATAAAACTGAGTTTGAATGAGGCTTTTTGAAGGAATTCTTTTTTTTTTTCTTTTTAATCTTTAGAGTGAAAAATACAGCGTTTCCAAACAAGTGAATGTTTGTATGATATTTTAAACTACTTTTCAACTTTCTCTGGCTCCCACAGGCCTGAGGTCTGATTCTTCTCCACTCCTCCCTCTGGTACCTGGTTCAGATCGGTGCTCGCTCTGTGTCACTCCCCCTTGCCCATCCTCTTTAGGAGAAGCAAATGGCCATCTCAGGGTGCCTCACAAAATGGAGACGCTTTGATGACAAGACATGTTGGATGTAGCTGACTGTGGTTATGCACACCTTATTTTTTTATATCAAACAAAAATTCAATATAGAACCATGCTTTAATGTCTTATCTTCACATGTTACACAAATCTCAAAGTGTCACTTCTGTTTCAGGCCCTGCTTGAATTTCTCCAAAGGGTAATAGATAATAAAGAGAAAAATAAAATGACGGCCATGAATGTAGCCATGGTCATGGCCCCGAATCTCTTTATGTGTCATGCATTGGGTTTGAAGTCCAGTGAGCAGCGAGAATTTGTCATGGCAGTTGGGACAGCAAATATCATGCACTTATTGATTAAATATCAAAAACTTTTGTGGACAGTAAGTATATATCTTTAAGCTCTATTAATAACTATATAATTTCCTAGCATAACTGTTTGTAATGATCTTGAACATAATTTTATAAAGCTGATAGAAAAATGTAATGTGCTTTTTTTATAATAGTTTAAAAAATATGCAGCATGTTTGGTGTCAGCTTTTTTGTTTGGTTGGTTTTTTTTTTTTTTTTTTTTGAGTTGGAATCTCATTCTGTCGTCCAGACTGGAGAGCAGTGGCCGCTCCTGGCCACTGCAGCCTTGACCTGCTGGGCTCTGGCGATCCTTCTGCCTCAGCCTTCCAAGTAGCTGGAACTACAGGCGTGCGCTACCACGCCTGGCTAGTTTTTGATTTATTGTAGGGATGAGCTCTCACAAAGTTGCCCAGGCAGGTCTCGAACCCGCGGGCTCAGGCAATCCACTCACCTCAGCCTCCCAAAGCGCGGGATTACAGGCTGAGCCACTGAGCCCGGCTTGGTGCCAGCTTTGTAAAATTATATTTAAAATTTGTGAATGCAGAAAATAATAAAGGGGTTTTTATTCACATAGATTAAAAGGACCTTGTGAATTTCATTTATTTATTTACTTATTTAGAGTCGAGATCTCATTTGCGGCCTTGACCTCCTGGGCTCAGCCTCCTGGGTCGCTGGGACTACTGGCACACACCATCACACCCAACTAAGTTTTCTTTTTTCTTTTTTGTAGAGACGAGGTCTCATTATGTTGCCTAGGCTGGTCTTGAACTCCTGGGCTCAAGCAGTCCTCCTTGCCTCAGCCTCCCAAAATGCTAGGATTAGAGGCATGAGCCACTGCACCCAGCTGTGCTTCTATTTTAGAATTATGAAATTATGTCAAGAAGATATGCTTTGTAAGAAGTAACTTCGTGGTTCTGCCCATATTCTCTTTTCTCAATATTTAGGACAGTTGTTGTTTTAAAAATTCCTGCCATCTGAGCTTCAGGTTATTCAGTTATTTTTCATAGACCTTTATTTTGTACTCTGATCGCTGAGGACATCTTAAAAATGAATTCCTCTGTTTTACTTTTATTTTGAGCTGGGTTTTTGGCATTAATCAGGACATGGTGGTGAATGAGAGGCTTAGTTGATTAAATTCCTATTTTCTACGGAATTTCCTAATTTTTCTGAAAGTCATCTTACAGACATTTAGAAAAATGACAAAGAAATTCCAAGCAAAATTATAATATTGAATATTTCAGTCTCTCATTTAAGGAACTGCCAGATATTAATTTGCTAAAGAGACAGAGTAATGACATCTAGATCCTGAAGTCTTTATTTACCTTCATCTTCTATAAAAAGGCAACTGATATAGATGATCTCAAATTTGGTTTTTCTAAAAAAAATTAATGACCATTTATTTAGTCTCCATTTTTGAAATTACAACCTTATTTCATGGTTACGTTTTGGTCACTTAACATATTCTGTGTTTGCTCATGTGATTTCTTAGAATACGTTTTGCCTGGATTCTTGCTAGCTACCTGTCAGCTCTTGTTTCTTGGGGAGCAGTTCTTTCCCTAGTGAGAGCAGAGGCAAGCTGGTTATCAGGAGGGACTGTAGGTTAGCTCACGGGGCTGTAGATGGGTGGCTGCAGAAAGGGGACCAACGAGGTGGTGGCCTCTATTGCCAGTCACCTCAGGGAGTCTCCAGTGTGGACGTCCCTGGCATGAAGACAGCCACTATGTCCTTGAACTTGACAAAGCCTCTTTGGAACCTTCCACAGTGGGTGGTAAATTACATCACGTGGATGTTCTGCACACCTGGCCAATGAATAATGTGATGCGTTTCCTTTCCCTGATTTAATGAATAGTGTGTGCAAAATGGCAGTCTTATAAAAAAGACAAGCCCTCTCCTTCTCTCGAAATTTAAGAAATAAAGATAATTTTTTTTTCTGTAGTTGTAAATGGCACCCTTTCTTTTTTCCTCCCTAAACTTAATTCTTTTTTCGCTATAGATTCCCAAGTTTATTGTAAACCAAGTGAGAAAGCAAAACACTGAAAATCATAAGAAGGATAAAAAGGCCATGAAGAAACTGCTGAAGAAAATGGCTTATGACCGAGAAAAACATGAAAAGCCAGATAAGAGCACAAATGATGTAAGAGAATTTTGGAGATATGTGTTTCGGTTTCAGTATTTTTCAAATGTCCCCCGATTTAAAGAAAAGAATGTTTTTCACGGTGTGACTTTCTACCACTTACTAGGCTGTGATACTACTTGTAAGTGAAAGTTATCGATAGCAAAAACTCTCCCCCTAGGACTGTTGCTTCTGATCAGTATTGACAGCTGGTCAGGTGTTGGTGACTCAGCATATGTGAGTTGTTAATGGGAAACAAAGGATGATAACAAGACAAGACTGTCGGATCACACACATGTGTGCCCACCCCCCCCACACACCCTTGTGAAGACTCCAGGTGTCCACTGAATGTATAATGTATATTGAGTTAATTATCCTATGTGAACCATTGATCTATTTTATTAACTGAAAAATGGGGGAAAATAACCAACCCAGACAGAAAAATAGGTGAATGTTTGTGTAGGATCATTCCTGGACTTCAGTAGGTATTTGAGGGTTCTTAATCTGATCAGAAGAAGAATTTTGAGAGGATAATGTTAGAAGGAAATTTAAGATGTTTCAAAAAAAAGAAATGTTTAGATATCAGTGTTTACAAATTACCATAAGAATATGTTAAGAACGGTGTTTACAGTCATGAAATATACATGGAAATACATTTATGAAGTGAGTTACCCAAGCTCTAGCTTAAGATCATGAAATGACACGGTTTCTATTGTTCTATTTTGGTGAGTACACCCCCTCCCCACTGCTGCAACCATTGGAGTTGTTCAGTTACATGCTGACATCTTGTGGAATAATGTGAAAATGCAATTATCGGTCTTTGTCTGATGTTTCTGCATCGGACTGCTTAGAGATCCAGTCTTTATAAAGACACATTTTCCCCCCTAAATTTATTTGTAGCTCTCACTCTTAAAAAATAACACTTTTGGCCGGACACAGTGACTCAAGCCTGTAATCCCAGCACTTTGGGAGGCCAAGGTGAGGGGATTGCCTGAGCCCAGGGTTGAAGAACAGCCTGGGCAACTTGGCGAGGCCTCATCTCTACAATAAATCAAAAAATTAGCCGGGTGTGGTAGTGTGCACCTGTAGTTCTGGCTATTGGAAGACTGAGGTGGAAGGATCGCCTGAGCCCAGCGGGTCTATGCTGGCGTTGCCATGAGCATGCCACTGCACTCCAGCCTGGGCGATGGAGTGAAACTCCAACTCAAAAAAAAACAACAATAATAAAAAATGCTTTCTTAGCATTACAAACATTGTATATCAATTTTAAGTATTTTAAAATCTATATAATTTATTAAAATGAATATAGCAATTTTTTTTTTTAGGAAGGGCTTAATATTATCATAAGGCTAGAAAGGATTTTTTTAAAGACATCATTTCTGGTTAACTCTAGAATGTTCTATTACCTCCAGTACCATTGTAAATATGTATCTTCTGTTTTGTAGTCCTCCTTACTCATAAGAAGTCCTTCTTATTCGCCATGATACTCTGAGGCTCAGTATCTACTTAAGGAAACATTTGTGGTGTTCATTTTTAATAATAAGTCTTTAGACAAAAACTAAAAGGTTATTTTTTTGGAGACGGATTGGTTAGGTAATATTTACAAAAAATATTATCTTGGATTTCCTTAGTTTGCACTTTGGGTTAATTAACATGAGCTGGTCTGAGAATGATCTTGGTACTATTTGAAAGCTACGTTGTCATTTTAAAGCATGGGATATAAGTCACAGTTTTATCATATATTAGCTGTAACTTCACCTCCTTGAGCTCTGTGTGTTTGTTTGTTTGTTTTGATCAGTATCTCACTCTGTCTCCCAGGCTGGAATGTAGTGGCATGATCATGGCTCTCCCCAGCCTTGACCACCTGGGCTCAGGCGATCCTTCTGCCTCAGCCTCGCAAGAAGTTGGGGCTACAGGTGTGTGCCACCATGCCCTGCTAATTTTTTTGATACTTCTTTTTTTTTTTTATAGAGATGAGATCTCGTTGTGTTGCCTAGGCTGGTCTCGAACTCCTGTGCTCAAGCAGTCCTCCCGCCTCAGCCTCCCAAAGTGCTGGAATTTGAGGTGTGAGCCACCATACCTGGCTTGTTTTTTCTTTTGTGAAATGCAGTTATTTATTTAACAAAATGCTACTGGCTCCTCAGTGCCAGGTCCCCCCTCCACATGCGGTATTTAAAGAAGCAAGGAGCTGGGGCTCACCCCAGGGAATCAGGAAGGGGAGGCAGACAAAGTGTGTGGCTAACGCCTGACGGGTACCCTGGGCTAGAAAACAGGAAGTGGGCATCAGAAAGGCTCACTGGGAGTCCAGCTGAGATGTGAAAAAACAAGTGAACTCGGATTTTATTCAGGCATCACTGGAAGAGAACATTCTAACCTAATCTGTAGTGGAAGCCTCCTGACATCACAGCCCTTGGTGCAGGTCCATTTGGCCTGTCATTTTGGTTGAAAAAAATTTTTTTTTTTTTTTTTTGAGTTGGAGTCTCACTCTGTCACCCAGACTGGAGTGCAGTGGCCGCTCCCGGCCACCGCAACCTCTACCTGCTGGGCTCTGGCGATCCTTCCACCTCAGCCTTCCAAGTAGCCAGAATTACAGGCATGCGCTACCACGCCTGGCTGATTTTTTGATTTATTGTAGAGATGGGGTCTCGCTGCCCAGGCAGGTCTCGAACCCGCGGGCTCAGGCAATCCACTCACCTCAGCCTCCCAAAGGCATGGGATTACAGGCTGAGTCACCGAGCCCGACTAGGTTGAAAATTTTTATTTTGTTTATTTATTTTTTGGGTCGGAGTCTCACTTAGTCACCCAGGCTGGAGTGCAGCGGCACACTCATGGCCACTGCAGCCTCGACCTGCTGGGCTCAGGCCATCCTTCCCCTCAGCCTTCCAAGTATCTGGAACCACAGGCGTGTGCCACCACATCCGGCTAATTTTTTGATTGATGGTAGAGATGTGGTCTCACCAAGTTGCCCAGGCTGGTCTCGATCCCATGGGCTCAGGCAATCCTCTCACCTTGGCCTCCTAAAGTGCTGAGATTATAGGCGTGAGCCACTGCACCCAGCCGGTTGAAAAATTTTAAACAACTTCTGGAATTTATAAAAGTTGCTATCATTGTATTAGGGGAAATGAATGCACACTGAAAGCAATGACAGAACACCAAAAGTTCAAGATCAGTTCAAGTACTTTGGATATGTGGTGAGTCACTAAGTAATGGGAGTTTTGTGCGTGTAACTTTCATCTAGCAACAGAATTCTAAAATGAAAAGATTCAATGTAAGAGTTTGAACCAGCATCTTTTTTTTTTTTGAGTTGGAGTCTCACTCGGTTGCCCAGACTGGAGTGCAGTGGCCGCTCCCGGCCACCGCAGCCTCGACCTGCTGGGCTCTGGCGATCCTGCCGCCTCAGCCTTCCGAGTCGCCGGAATTACAGGCGCGCTACCACGCCCAGCTGATTTTTTGATTTATTGTAGAGATGAGTTCTCGCTGCCCAGGCGGGTTTTGAACCCGTGGGCTCAGGCCATCCACTCACCTCAGCCTCCCAAAGGCGCGGGATTACAGGCTGAGCCACCGAGCCTGGCTGGACCAGCATCTTAATGACAAATGGATGCAGGGGCATCGCTGATACGCTGGCAGTAGGGGGCCTGCTTTCCAGCTGAGTAACAGTTGCCCGATTAGAGCAACGGGTGATCCCTTTGCATGGATCGTGGGCCATGGCATCGCTCCAAGCCACCCTCCCTCCTGCATTCTGCCATGTTGCTTTTCTTTCTCGACTCTTCCCGCAAATCATTTGACTGTGCAACTATGGGGTCTGAAACTACCTGGAACATTTCAGTCATTTGTTAAGCAGTTATTTCATGTGTGCCTACTGGGTGTCAGGCATTGTTTTTTGGGACTGGAAATACACTATTGAACAAAAACATATGAAGACCACTGCTCTTGTAGAGCTTAAATTCTATAAATAAAAATAAGACGTAATTACATCGTATGTTCATATGGGTCAGTACTCTAAAAATTGTACAATTAGAATTCTTATAATTAGAATTACAAATTAAAGTGACAAAAATTATAAAAACAGGCAAAGAAGGGAATGGGCGGGCAAGAAACCTCTCACACTATCAAGCTGGGATAGTCTGGGTCTTGTTCATCCAAGCAAAGATGTGAAAGAGGGACAGGAAGTTGAGCTGGGTGTACGTCTCAGGAAGCGTATTCCAGTCAGAAAGAACAGTGTATGAGAATCTCAAGTGAGGAGCTTGCTTGGGGCAGTCAAGGACTAGCCAGGAGTGCATGTGGCCAAGTGAAGACAGCGAGGTGGTGTCCAGGTGAGGGCACGAGGGCTGTGGGACCAGGTCACACAGGGCCTTTGAGACCGCCATTAGGAATTCGGATTTACCCTGAGTGAACTGGGGGCTTGGAGCCAAGGTTTGGAAGTCTACTGTGTGTTAAAATCACCTCTTGGGTTTTTATTGTATTGCAAATAAGTAAACTATAGGGGAGCAAAGATAGAAATAGGGAGACCGTTTAGGAGTTTCTTGTAATCTAGGGGAGAAGGGATGGTGGCTCAGACAAGTGAAGACGTGGGTGGATTCTGGATTTTTTTTTTTCTGAGGTGAGGGCATTGAGAATTTTTCATGGAAAAGATGCGAGGTGTAAGAAAAAGAAAAATAAGAAATGACTTGAAGGTTTTTGGCCCGCGAAACTGGAAGGATGGAATTGCCAGATAGGAAAGGTCATGATTTCAATTTGAGTGTGAGATGTCTATTAGACATCAAAGTGGGCTATTTAAGGATGTTTAAAGGGAAAACTCAGGTTGTACTGACTGGCCGGTGAGATGCACAGAGAGATGGGGAGGAAGGGAGGCAGGAACGGGGTTCGAGGGAGAGCAAGCTTCTGTTCTGTGTCTGACAGGGACCTGCTCCAGGAGTCACGTGATTGTATTTGCATTTTGGAACAGTCACTGCGGTGATAGGTGAAGGAAAGGAAAGATAGGAGGGGCAGGTAAGATCGGGTAGGAGATGCTGGGTGTGTGA